TCCCAGGTGTGAAAATTACTCATTTATCCAAAATAGCATCGGATCACAGTCCCTTACTAATCACGTGTGATCCAGATTTTATACCTGTGAAGAAGCAATTTCGATTCCTTAATTTTTGGACAGAACATGACACCTTTCAAGATGTTGTGAAGGAAAACTGGACGATAGACTTTAGTAGTAATCCATTCATAATTTTCAATCACAAATTGAAGAAGTTGAAGCGAGCATTATAAGCATGGAGCAAGGCTATGTATGTGGATATTTTCCAAAAGATTACTAGCTTGGAAGAGGTGGTACTTGTTCATGAAGAACAGTTTGAAATCAATCCAACAAAGCTTAATAGAGAAAGGCTTAACAAAGTTCAGGCTGAACTTATCAGATTTTTGTCTCTCGAGGAAGAATTTTGGAAGTAAGAGTCTGGCATGTCATGGTTTAAGGATGGAGATCGCAACACTAAACTCTTTCATGCATAAGTGAATGGTAGGAAAAGAAGATTGCAATTAAAGAGAATTCAGAATAGTGAAGGTAACTGGATCGAGGGTAATGAACAAATAGCAGCTAAAGCAGTCAATGTTTTCCAGAATCAATTCAATGAGGATACCTACTGCTTTTGGGATCATTGATCATGTTCCTAACATGGTTACCTTTGATCAGAATCAAGAACTGGTGAAACAACCTACGAATGAAAGATGAAGTCAAGAGGGTTGTCTTTGGCTTAAATAGGGATAATGCTGGAGGATCAGATGGATTCACTGGAAATTCTTCCATAGTTGTTGGGACATAATAGGGGATGATGTATTTAACATGGTGAGGCAGTACTTTAATGGTCATGGACTACCAAGATTTATTATTCACACAAATCTGGTGCTATTGCCTAAGAAGAAGGAAGTTGCTACTTTTTCAGATATGCGACCTATTAGTTTGAGCAACTTCGTTAACAAAATTTTTTCAAGAGTTATTCATGAAAGTCTTACTCCTCTATTGCCTAATCTCATCTCAGATGAACAAGTATGTTTTGTTAAAGGAAGGAGCATCTTAGAAAATGTGTTGTTAACTCAAGAAATCATTACTGACATTAGGTTAGGCATGACCTAATATAGTGATGAAATTAGACATGACCAAAGCTTACGATAGGCTTTCCTGGATATTCATGACTAAAGTGTTGAGGAAAATGGGCTTTTGTAAAAGGTTCATTGGTATAGTGTTTGGCATTGTGTCTAACAACTGGTATTTAGTTTTAATTAATGGCCAGCCGTATGAATTTTTCAAGTCCACCAGAGGAGTTAAGCAAGGGGACCCCTTGTCACCTACATTATTCATTTTAGCTGCCGAAGCTATGTCTAGAGGTTTGAATTCTCTTCATCTAAACTTATACTTTTATGAATTTGGTTTGCCAAAGTGGAGTCCTAAGAATAATCGTCTAGGGTATGTTGACGATGCTATCATCTTCTCATCATCTGATGCTACTTCATTACAACTAATTATGGAGGTGTTGAGTGCCTATGAGGTAGCTTTTGTACAATGAATTAATAAGGCAAAATCAGCAATCTATATGGATCATTCAACAAGTTTAGAGGTTTTGAACAAGGTGCAAAGAGTGACTGGAATCGGCAAGTAGGAATTTTCTTTCACTTACCTAGGCTGTCTAATTTTTTATGCTAGAAGGAAAATGGACTACTATCAGGGGCTTGTTAACAAAGTGCTTGACAAGCTTCAATCATGGAAGGTAAACTTCTATCAATTGGTAGTCGGGCTGTATTGATCTCACATGTTCTTTAAAGCATGCCAATACATTTATTGTCAGTTGTGAACCCTTCATCCTTTGTTATTAATAAACTTCATAAATTATTTGCTCGTTTCTTCTGGAGTAATTCAGTAGGAGGAAGAGCTAAATATTGGGCATCATGGGACACATTATGCTTGCCACAAAAAGAAGGAGGGGTTGGATTTAGATCGTTACATTATGTGTCTAAAGCCTTATTTTGTAAACTATGGTAGAACTTTAGAATAAAGCCTACTTTGTGGAGCTCATTAATGTGTCAAAAATATTACAAAAAGTTGAATGCATTGGTGGTTCCTTGTAGAAATGGATCTCATGTGTGGAGAAAGATTCTTGAATGTAGGGATGAGATTGAACACAAAATAATATGGCAGCCAAGGATGGGTTCTTCACTGTTTTGGTTTGATAACTGGACAGGCTTGGGATCTTTGTACTTTGTTACTCCTCCAAATTTCTACTGTGATGAATTTGTCCACAACGTATATGATGTGATAGTAGATGGCTCGTGGGATGAAAGTAGGTTACTGGATATTCTTCCTCAAGAGTTAGCACTTCATGTAATTGAGAACATCAAACCTCCTGTACTACATAATGAATTGGATAGACCATACTGGACGTTGGATACTAGGGGCAACTTCGCTGTTAAAACTGCCAGGGACTATATTAGAAGGAGAAGAGATTCTAGTGTTGCTTACAAAAACATATGGGTGAGAGGTTTGCCTTTTAAGATTGCTTTCTTCATGTGGAAGGTTTGGAAAGGCAAGTTACCTTTTGATGACTATTTTAGAAGACTAAGATCAGAATAAGGTAAAACTTGAAAATAATTTCATGCCATCCAAATGTTGGTGTTGTATTAATCCATCAGAGGAAACAATGTCACATGTACTATTTAGATCATATGCAGCTAAGACAGTGTGGCGGTACTTTCTCTCAAATGCAGGCATTAATATAGAAGGATTTTCGATGCAGCAGACAGTTCTAAAATGTTGGGCAGCTCAGGTGGTACCTAGATTAAAGCCTATATTCCAGGCTTTGCCTTCGATTATAGTGTAGGAACTTTGAAAAATAAGGAATAGCTATAAGCATGGAGAGGCAGTGAAAGTAAGTAGGGTGATCTACCAGATCTCATCTACACTACAAGATCTGGTAAGCCTAAGAAAACCAAGTTTACAAAATATTCCTCATAAATGGCCAGATTTATTACATGTAATGGAGCATTACATGCCAAAGTTGAAGGTGACGAAAGTCTGATGGGAATTATCTGAACAAGGTTTGGTAAAGGTGAATACTGATGGGGCATCAAGGGGAAATCCGGGAAGGAGTTCTTGAGGTTTTGTGTTGAGAGATGAATATGGTGATATTCTGCATGCACAAGGAAAGGAGATCCATGAAGGGACGAACATTGAAGCTGAAGCTATGGCCATGCTAGAAGCACTGAAGTACTGTGTACAACATGGTTACACACACATTATGCTCCAAACTGATTCCATGATGTTGAAGAATGTGGTGGAGGGGATTTGGGTTGTACCATGGATAATTGCAACACAAGTAGAGGAGATCAAAGGCACTATGGGGAGATGCAGCATAAGGATATCACATATTATGAGAGAGGGTAATAAACTGGCTGATTACTTAGCCAACTATGCTTTGGATAGAGGTAATTTTGAGGCTGACTGTTTCACACAATTGTAGGTACAAGGTCAAAGATTGGTGAATGATGATAAATTACAATATCCCTATTTGAGAGTGAAGGTTGCGAAGAACTAGGAGGAATGGAGGATAGGAGTGTAAGAAGAAGGGGAAGCAGCCATGATCATCATCCTCAAATCTGTACAGAGGAGAGGGTGATGATTCTGTTTTTCACTAACTCTGTTTGTTTTTTTGCAGGAAATGTTATTGTATCCTTGCCTTACTACTTAATACAAATTCAATGGGTGGTATTAATATCTAGTGCTCATTCCCTTGAAGAAGTCTTAGTAGTAGGCATAAGCATGGAAGCAAGGAGGAACTCCAGTATACTAGGGTCGACTTACAGTCATCGAAAGATGGCTTTTGACATCCAGCACCCTAGTGCTTCAATCCTTCATCTGAACACCAGTAATTTCACCATGAAGTTACAAGAAAAGGATTCACAATACTGGAGTTATAACACAAGAATGCGCGGGAGTTTAATCGCGACAATCATGTCATTTATGGTGACTTGGGCTTTTGGCATTAAAAAATGGGATCAATGGTTGCATTGTGGAGTAAAACCCCAATGTATTTCAGTCACTCTATATCCCAGGAATGGTGCCAAACAAATGTTTCGATAGATCACTGCTGGAGTCCTCACAATTTTCTCACCAATCAGTGCATGCCCATTCTCGTGCACAATTGCTGGACACTTGAAGCAATGAGGAATGCGTGTGATTTTACTAATCCTTATAATAATGCAGGTAATCTACTGGATTCTAGACATCAAGAGGCAGGATTTATAGGGTGTGTTTGGGCTGTAAAATGCAACATTATGCAAGGAGGAGAAGAAACGCATCAAGGATACGGCAAGACAGTGAAGGGTATGCTACTGGACACTACACAATTTGGGGATGATCACATGAGCTCCATAGACAAGGAAGATACAACTAGAGCCTTGGAAGGAAAACTAATGGCTACACAACTGGATTCAATCTCGTATCCAGCTCTGAATAAGGAGTATGAACGAAATTCAAACATGCGATTCAATTGGGATGGTATAGCATGGCTAGTTTATTTCCTTTTTAGATTATATTATAATTTGTACTATCACTGTTGAGTACTATACTCAACTTTGATAATAGGAGCTATGTNTATATATATAAAAACTAGCCCTAGGCTCCTTGCCTAGTGGACTTGCTTAAAAAAAAAAAAGTTTTGTACTTAGGTAAAATTTATAAAATAAATGCCAAGTGTAGAAGGACATAACAACATAGCAACTGAAAATCAATCGTTTTATTGTCAGTGTATCACTTGGCGTCCTTTTCTGGTTCTAATTTAATCCTCTAAAATTCAATCTTACAGTACAACTAGAATGAAAACAGCCGAAGACAAGTAAAAGTGGTCAATGTTCATTGGAAAACGACTGACTCGAAAGACTTGCAACAATTTCGAGCACTCACATAAGGGTAGAGAATAACCATCTGTCAAGAGTAAGCTTTCAGTCTAAGAACTTAAGTTGTCGTCAATCATTAGTTATGCAACCATCTTGCTGAGAAAGATTGACATACTTCATAGAAAATTATTAAGCAAAAAACATTGCGAGGGAGACAAAAATGAGAAGGTGATTTTACAGAACCTAGACCATTTTAAGACGTCTTACCAGTTCAGCATATAATCAGTTATACAACCTAAATCCTAGAATTGGCTAAAAAAGAAAAACAGACAAGTCATACTGTCTTAGCTGTATTGTGCTCTTCCCCAAGTGCTGCCAGCCTTCGCTTGGAAACCTTGGACCTGTAACACCACACTTCAAATGCCTCGGTGAGGTCTGGATATCGAATCTGCTGATTTTTCAACCACTCAGTTAAAATCTCTGCCTGATCAACTGATGGCAATGCAAGTATAATGGAAACAAATGCCGACTCCAAGGATTGCCATAACTCACTATCAACTTTTATTGTGAGATCATCCTCAGTTTCCGAATCAACTAAAGGCTTCATGGATCGGACAAAAGGAAGCCAGAGCTTCACCATGTGAAGTCGTTTTACAGTAGGTAACGCAACTATGCCATATCCTACTGCCTCTAATACTTTTGCCGTCACCTCAAGAACCTTCAGCTTTGTTTTTAGAATTTGATTTTCTGATTCTTTTTGTTGAAAAATTATAACTAGTTTCATTGACAACTCTGTCCAGCTGCAAACAAAATCTCTCATAATTTCCAGCTTTCCTAATATCTGACATGCCCATGACAAATCTGTTAAACAGGAATGCAATGATTGCAATTTCCCAGCATCTGAAATTGATTCTTGGAGATCACACAGTAGAGATTCTACGAGGTTGTTAAATCTATCAAACAGCCTGTTGGCACATCGTATGACTTCTAGCTTTATTTCTTCATCGGCAGTCAGTAAAGGAGCATCATCATCCTCAGTAAGCAGGTATTCAAGCTGTTCTTGAGCAGTGGTTTTCAGATCATTCAAAGGAGAAGGAGGTGATGATGTAGCAAATTGAAGGGCCGCTAGAAAAATCTTCATTACTGCAGTAGGATTGACTGGTTGGAGACGAGCAAGTACTGGTTCCACTTTAGATCCCATGCCTGGTATAGTATTTAATAGCTCCTCCTCTTCAGCTTCCTCCCATGGGACTGCTTCCAAATAATCCACACACACTGCAATAATTCTTGGGCATCCAAACTTGACAGCAACCCGCAAAATGCCAAGGGCATTCCTGACACCGTGGCAAATTTCAGTCATTAAACTATCTGCAATGACATAGAAGAGTCGAAGGACATTGACATGGTAGTCCAAATCAGGTTCTTCACAGTAAACCTCAACACAATTGCGCGAGTCAAGAATCTGACATGTTGGCCAACTATCTGATAACAGATCAGCAAAATATTTGCTCTCTTCGACAAGAATATGTGAATGGCAGTAAAGCCAATCATCACGGCCATCCTGCGTTCTAAGCCTTACGACAACATCACTGGTTGGTCTATCTCCAATCTTGCTTGGTGTCTTTGATTCATTAGGCTGCAATGGGGAATGTTATAGGTCAGAAAATGTGATAAATTATTGGCAACATTAAACAGCTAAATCAATAAAAGAAAAGCATGATGTCAACTTCTATGATGCCTGGAAATGATTAATGTTCATACTTTAATCCTTATTAGCATAGGAGAGTGAATGCAACCGTAGGAGCAGCCAAAGAAGTAGATGCAAGAATCGACGTTTTGAAACAAATTCATGGCCATGTCCCTTGAGGCAACGGAAGACCTAACTGCCCTGAGGCCTCCAGGTGGAGGCTAAACCTTGAGCTTTCCTCCCCGTCATAGAAAAGAGGAATTTAGACAGGTATATTATTCAATAGTTAAAATGAGTCTATGCCATGTGTACACATTAAGAGGAAATGGAATCTGTCTAAAATTTTACATAACAAAATATGAGGGGAATAAAGTAAATATTTTCCAACTTCTCAGGAATCTCATTTTTTGACTCTTTTAATCTTTTTGAATTATTAAAGCACTTCCAAGTTAAAAGATAAGAAAATGTTCGCACTCAAAACGCAGACCCTATTGGCAGTGCCTTGCCTGGCCAAAGGTGGGTTGCCTCAGCTTAAGCTTTTGCCTTTCAAATCACCAGAAATATCGTGAAATGTTTCCAGGAAAAAAAAAAGCAAGTAAATTGTTGCATTAACTCTTTCCTCTTTATTTCCAGTTTACATGGCTCCGGTGATATGACACAAGCTCCAAAATATATTCTTTTAGTTTTTATACTATGCAAAGACACTTACGGCTATCTCCATTAATGAACAGGACTAATCGGTGTAGCTTCTATGCATTGTCAGACCTGCAAATAGACAAGGACATATGAAATCAGATAAAAAGAAAAGATAGCTGAACAGCTTAAATCAGATTCTGTATTCAGTCAGAGCCTACGCATCCCAACAACTAAAAAGAGTCCAACAGAAATTTCTTTTGATAATTAAATCCTATGGAACTTGTTTTTTCTTTTTCAATAGATAAAAGTCCCAAGAGAAATTAAACAACAAAACTGAAAAAACCAAACCACTTTGTCTGTGAGATGCTCTGTTTGATTAACCGAGAAACACACAATAAAAGGTTTAAGAGCAGTCCTTAAACCTTAAATCAACAATATATATATATATATATATATATATATATAATCTTCCGGCAAAATGCCTACGGTTAAAAACCACCGACATGTCAAGATCCAAATATGAATTGGTTCCAGGTCCTGGTCAGAGACCACTGTTGTTCGCGCCGGCGGTCCGACAAAGAGGCGAAGTAGTGGTATCTTTCTTTCCATTACGAACTGCTACCACTTCCTCATGAATTTATCTTGAATCGAGATCTTTTGGCTCAGCTTTATCCCAGTTTGCCGAGGAAGCAACCCCATTTTTCACCTTGAATTGGTCAAAATATGCGGAATTCCTTACTTTTCGTATATATATATATACGAATTAAAAAAATTTCAAATTAAAATTAGATTTGGTTCAATTTGAGTTTTTCGATTCCATCCAACTAATGCACACACCTACTATACACCAAATATATTGGGGGCATTTTGCATATGCATATATATATATATATATATAAATTTCGTATGCAAGCAGCATCGGGCATCAATATATCAAACACATATAAAACACTCAATCGACTGGATTAAGTAGTAAAATAGGTCATAAAAAGGTGGTAGATCAAGTAAGTTTCCAAATGGCGGAAATGGCAATAAGCTTATTTGTATCTACCATCTTTCTCTAAATTGATCAACTTCTCATTTTCAGAAAGGATAGAGCAAGGGCAACCCAATGCAATAAGCTCCCGCTATGTGCGGAGTCCGAGGAAGGGCCAAACCACATTGAGTCTTATTTATGCAGTCTTACCTTGCATTTCTACAAGAGGTTGTTTCCACGGCTTGAACCTGTTACCTCCTAAGTCACACGGTGAGAACTTTTACCACCGCGCCAAGGCTCCCTTCCTAAAAGAAAGAACGTTTCGGAAGCTTATAACACGAAAAACACTAGTGAGATCAACTTTACTCTTCTAACCACAAACTTATTTCGTTTTTCTATTATGAAAATATCATGAAGAGACTGTTGAATCCCACATGCTCTACACTTCTTAACCTCATCTCTTAATACTGGAACAAAGTTAAATTAATGAAAGCATGCTCATTACTGTCATCTTACTTAGTTTAAGGGTGTTGGATCCTCCTCTTACCTTCTACTTTGACCTCTCTTTTCTCAGAAAGTTAAACTGCAATACTAATTTCTGGCATTCTCCGAGGAGTGAGGGCTTGGGAAGAGCAAGAACGTTTAGTTAAAGAGTAAAGACGTCTCATGTCAACAGTTGGCACATGGCGCTAGGTGATCTTTTAGAAGCATACCAGTGCTTTACTCATTAAGCTTACAAAAGTAATTGCACAGTCAATCAAAGTTCTATGGTGTCGCTGCAGCTAATAGGTGTATTTGACAAACAAGTTAGGACACATAAGCGCATAGATGATCAAAATTGACTAAGAAGTTAAGTTAACCATGGGATTGGCAAGTGAAGAATGCAATAAAGCTCCATTCAGGCAATCATACACCAACCTTTGAAGGGCCGCCTCTCCCACAAGTTCCAAGATTTGCTTGGTCATACTATGGATCTTCTGCGTGCATGCCCCACTGCTAAACTACATGAAAGAACTGAATATGGCTTAGTGGAAAAGAAATAAATCCAGAAAAAGAAATTAAAACTCAAAACTAAACTCCGTGCGCATAGCCACCATTATTAATGTAGTTTCTGGCTGGTGCATCACTATAATAATCACTAGTAGGAAATTTGATAGTCATAAATGTTATACTAATCTATGTAAAATGAAGCATTAGCAAATTAATCAACATGGACCTACATTTTTCATTTTAGCACAATACTACTTCCAAAGCAGAAATTTTCAGAGCACTCATGTAAGAAACATTTTCCAATAAAAATAAGTTATAATATTTGATATGCGCTACCTCTAGGACGTTTCTCTATACAGAAGTTGCTATAACGAGATAAAGTAAAAAGCAACTCCATTATCAGAATCTATTCAGCAATTCAGCTACTTAACAAACACTTCCCAGGTAAGGTTCTTTTTACCCTTTATCCAAATGACCCACATTCTCCTTCCCCTCAAGAACCCCATTTTCAAGATTATCAAGCTCCCTTGTTTACTTCCCTTCACTCAGGCACACATACCAAAGTCTTCCAGTAGATATCTGCAAATAATAGATAAAATCAAACACCCACCAACAATCAGATAAATCCAGCATATGTCTACTGAATGTAACAGTTTATTATCAAAAAGTACTAAACTTAAAGGGGGAAAAACCTCAAGACTACTTCATCTTTCAGTCAATAAATCTTGACCAGATAAAACCCATATCTAGAATGTCATGATAAGATTGTCAAAGGATATATACCCATATTCCATTTCCATAGTTATTCTTTGTTTTCATTAATGGAAATTATCTGAACTAAGTGCAGAAATTGTGGATTCTTGTGCGGAGAACCTACCTCTCCTATTCATTATGAGCTGCCCTTCGTTTGTAAAGTAGATTGAGAGTTCTTGCTCTTCAAATTGTCGAAGCAAATAGTACCAACTTGGGGAATTTGGGCATTTGATTCTTGGAACTCTTTTACATTTTTAAACTTAAAGAAAAGATAATTGGAAATCGAGTAGTTGAGTTCACCTTTTTGGAAAGAAAATTTGAGGCATGTAATTCCTGAAAATGTTTAAAAAGGGAATGTAAGTAGCTAAACTATGAATATGATAGATGATTGATAATTATTTTTTTGGGCACATCGCGAAAAATATTTATAATATTTATACATTTTACAAATTGATATCCTCTAAAACACACTAGTTAAATAGAACTATAACATGGATCATATAAACTAGGGGTGGGCATAATACCGATCGAACCGTGAATTTCGATTTTTCGATTTCGTTTTAATCGGTTTTTCGGTCGGTGCACGGTTTTTAAATTATTAATTTTCGATTTTTTGGTGCGGTTTTGGTTTTGGTGTTTCGGTTTTCTGTTTAACCGAAACCCCGAAATTTTGGGTATTAGTTATTACCTATTTTAGGCTGGAACCCAATACCTATTTGAACTTTGAAGCCCAATTTAGTTTTCCCAAACCCAAACTTACTGATAGTTTGTCTGATACCCAAACCCATCGGTTACACTAAATCACTAATACACTTAGTCACGTCCCATTTCCCAAACCTAAATCAAAAATTAAATTTAGGGTTCTTCCTGTGCGACTGCTACGACTGTTGCGACTCGCCGTCGCCGACTACTACGACTTCTTTTGAGTTTTTGTGAGTTCTGCGCCTTCTTACTCAGCTCGACTATGACGCCTTCTTCCTCAGCTCGTTGCTCATCCTTCATCCTCAGGTTAGTGCGACTTCCTCTGAGTTCTGAGTTGAGTTGGGTCCCGTCAAACTAGTACGTTCTGAGTTGAGTTGGTTGTTAATGCCGTTTTGGCCGAACTTTCTGATAGATAAGGCTTTTTCGGTTTTTGTTATTTTGGTTTTAATTTTGCAGAAACTTTTCACATTCAAGATTTCTTTGGTTAATTTTTTATTAAGATAAGGCTTCTTGTTTTGTGTTTTAGTTCTTTTTTTCCTTGGAATAATTTTGAACAAAGTCAAGTTTAAGTTTATGAAGAAAGAAAATGTCTTAGTCTTTTGTGTATGTTGATTTTCAATTAGTCTCACTGTTAGTCTTTTGTGTATGAAAAAAGAAAATATCTCACTGTCTTAGTCTTTTGTGTATGAAGAAAGAAAATGTCTCACTGTTAACTGTTAAGGACATTTCAATTAGTACTTCCTCTTTTGTGTATGTTGACTTTATTTTATTAAGTTCTGGAATTAAGGACATTCTAAGCATTATACTGGATCAATTTTATTCAGATGACAAAATGATAATTTGCTGGGCTGGACGAACAGCAAATAAATTCTAGCCTTGTTTATTGATATTCCTACAAACCGTAAATACTTGTTGTTCCTACAACCGTTTAAAATCGAAAAAATAAACCGAAAATAACCGAACCTAACTTTGAAAAAACCGCACCGAACCGTAAATACTTTGGTTTGATTTGGTTATTAATATTATAAAACCAAAAATCGATAAACCGAACCGTACTTCCATAATAACCGACCGATTCGACTGACGCCCACCCCTAATATAAACCCTAACAAAAAATTTCAAAAGGTGAAAATGAGTTAAAAAAGACTTTTGAAGTCTTGTGTAAGAATTTATGATACATTTTTTGGTTAACAAAATAAAGGTAATTAAAGGGGGTCGGGGTCAAATTAAAGAGTAAATATTAAAATTTTCAAAAATTTAAAAAGACTCACAGTCATTCAAATTATTTTAAATTTTCATTTCTATCTTCTTTGTTCTCTCTAGTTTTACTTCTTCTCCTTCTTTCTTCTTTCTCTTCATCATTCTCTTATTCTTCTTCCTTACTTTCTTCTTTCTCTTCAACTTTCGTTGCTACTGTTGCTGCTTCGTCTCTGTCATCTTCTTTTTCTCCATTTCTTTCTTGTCTTTTTCTTCTTCCTCCTCTTCTTCTTCTTCTTCTTCATTTTTTGATTCTTCTAGTGATTTAAAATATACGAGAGAAAGAGAAAAATGTAAAATTTTACAAAGTGAGTATTCTGCAAAACACCTCTCGAGATATTTTGAAGCATCCCCACAATGAGTATTCTATAAAACATCCCCCGAGATATTTGAAACATCTCCCGGGATGTTTGAAACATCTCTCAGGATATTTCTTCTCCTTCTTTCTTTTTTCTAGTGTTGTTCTCATTGATCTTTTTTTTTCACAGATGTTTGAAATATCTCCCTAGATATTTAAAATATTTTCCTAAATATTTGAGGATAAGGAGTGGCGGGAAGATAGAAAGGAGCGTTGCGAGATGGAGGAACAAAGGGAGGATAGAGAGAAGCATTGTGAAATGGAGGAACAAGGGGAGGAGCAGGAGTGGCGGGAGGAGGAAGAGTGGGAGGAGGAATAGGGGGTAGAGTAGGAGGGGCACTTTATGTAAATAAGAAAACTTTGGAGTTTTAAAAAATTATGTCATTATTACTAATCATAAAAGTGTCCCTTCTACCCTATTCTTAACACTTTTGTCTTAAAAAATTATATAAGTTTTCAAGTGTCTTAAAAATTTAATTCCGTAGCTAAACTATAAATATATGATGATGACTGATAATTATTTTTTGGGCACATCTTGGGAGATATTTATAATATTTATATATTTTGTAAATTGATATCCTCTAGCACACACTAGCTAAATAGAACTACAACATGGATCATATAAACCCTAACAAAAAATTTCAAAAAGTGGAAATGAGTTAAAAAAGACTTTTGAAGTCTTGTGTAATAATTTAGGACACATTTTTTAGTTAACAAAAGAAGGGTAATTAAAGGGTAAATATTAAATTTTTCAAAAATTTAAAAAGACCCACAACCATTCAAATTATTTTAAATTTTCATTTCTCCCTTCTTTGTCCTCTCTACTTTTTCTTCTTCTCCTTCTTTCTTCTTTTTCTTCCTCATTCTCTTATTCTTCTTCTTCCTTACTTTCTTTGCTACTAATGTTGCTTCGTCTTTGTCATCTTCTTTTTCTCCATTTTCTTCCTTGTCTTTTTCTTCTTCCTCTTCTTCTTCTTCTTCTTCTTCTTCCTTTTTTTTTTATTCTTCTAGTGGTTTAAAATATACGAGAGAAAGAGAAAGATGTAAAATTTTACAAAGTGAGTATTCTGCAAAACACCTTTCGAGATATTTTGAAACATCCTCATAATGAGTATTCTATAAAACATCCCCCGAGATATTTGAAACATCTCCCGGGATGTTTGAAACATCTCTCGGGATATTTCTGTCACGACCCAAAAACGACCGTCGTGATGGCGCCTATCGTGGAACTAGGCAAGCCACAACTCAACAATTTCAACATAGTAAAACACTCTTTTAGAAATAACAGCGAAACAATTTATATTAAAGAGAACCCATTTTAAAACAGAATTTAACCAGAATACGGTACAATCCATCCCAAAACCAGGGTGTCACTGAGTACATGAGCGTCTAAAACCAGAATACAGTCTACAACAGTATCTAGAGAATAAAATTGAAAGTACAGATAGAATAAGGAAGGGGAAATCAAGGCCCGCGAGTTCCATACAGCTACCTCGATAGTCTCCGAACTTTGATGCCTCAATCAGCAGCTGCCGTCGTGACCAGGAACGCCTGGATCTACACACAAGGTGCATGGAGTAACGTGAGTACATCCAACTCAGTAAGTAACAAGTCCAAACTTTGGACTGAAAGGTAGTGACGAACTCAACCGGTACAGATAAAATGAAAATAACTGTGCAGAAACATAGGCATGCTCTCAAATCACATAGGCAACTCAAACAGTAAAGTAAAGCAGATCCGAATTGTGTAATGAATATAACTCTATTATCTCTATATGCCAATGCACATACTGTAAGTGATGCACCATGCTGACAGACTTAAGTGCTCACACTCTCAATATCTCAACCACTCGGTACTGTATATGGCCCACACGGTCAAGGGAAGATCCATCCTAGAACATACACAATACTGACCATAGGTCACCCAGTACCGAGGAGAGGCCAGTCCAACCCTGTGGAGAAGATCCATCTCCAGGTATCAAGTACTTCGGACAAGATCCATGTCTAGGGAAGGTCCATCCCTCAATAATATCAACTGTGCTCACTGGGGTGTGTTACAGACTCCGGAGTGGCACCTACAGCCCAAGCGCTATCATAAAATCAGTATAACAGTTGCAGCGTGCAGCTCGATCCCATAACTGTCACTCATAATAAGTCTCTCAGCCTCACTCAGTCATCAATCTCTCCAGTCTCACTCACGGGCTCACAATATCATAAAAACTAGCCCGAAACAATGATATGATGTATCAATAAATAAGAACTGAGACTGAGATATGATATGAAATGCATGAACATTACTGAGTACATAATATCAATGAAATCAGTGAGACTCTGGAATGGTATTTTGATGATTTTAATAGCTTCGTATGGTGATTTTAGACTTGGGCATATGCCCAGATTTGCATTTGGAGGTTTCTAGAAGGTTTCGACACTATTTGGCAAAAGTTGGCAATTTGAAGGTTTGGAAAGTTCATAGGTTTGACCGGGAGTTGACTTCGATGTTATTGAGTTCAGATTATTGTTTTGATAGTTGGAATAGGTTCTATATGTCATTTGGAACTTGTATGCAAAATTTGGATTTATTCCGGATTGGTTAGGCTTGAATCGAACACTTGGTTCGAAGTTTGAAGTTTATGAACTTACGAGATTGATCTTGATCGATGATTCATGGTTTTGATATTTTTATAAAGGATTTAAGGCCTCGACTAGGTCCGTATTATGTTTTGGGACTTATTAGTATGTTCAGACGGGGTACCGAGGGGCTCGGGTGAGTTTCAGATAGGTTTGGGTTGTGTTGCACTCGTTTTTGATATTTCGGTGTTGTTTCTTCAAGCATAAATGGTACCACATTAAGAAAATGAGTATTCAATTTTTGTTTTCATTGAAGCATTAGATCCGCATTATAATTACGCAGCCATAGCAATTGATCCCTTTATGAGGGAATTTGGACATCGTATGAGGGAATTATGCTCATTTTAGTGTTAGAGAAATAAGCTGGTGCTGGTGCTACGCAGATGCGAAGTTGGGTCCGCATCTGCAATCCCACAAGTGCGAAACATAGGCCGCAAGAGCAAAAATGACAGCTAGAAATGCGCAGGTGCGGCTTTTTTGGCGCAAAAGCGAAAATGCTTGTATATAAAAAAATCAGACTGCGTTCTTTTGGTATTTTGAGCATATCTTGAGTTCTAGAGCTCCGATTGAGGTGATTTTTGCGGCGTTCTTATCGTATTTTCATGGGGGTAAGTATTTAATCTCAATTTTTGTAATTTAACATGATTCCAGTAGTTCATGTATGAATTAATCTATGTTTTGTTTGGAGAATTGAGGGTTTTTATCAAAAGCGTTTCTAAAGAGAATAGTTGGGTTTTGAATATCGATTCGGAGTCGAAATTGGATGAAATTAGTATTGTTGGACTCGTAATCTAATGGGTTGTCGGAATTTGTAGATTTTATCGGGTTCTGAGGTGCGGGCATAGGGTTGACGTTTTGGGTTGGCCTTTTAGTTTTCATTAAAGATCGAAGCTTTATTATCCGAAATTATTTTCTATGATTTTTATTTCTGATATTAATTTATTTTGGCTAGATTTGAGCCGTCCGGAGGTTGTTTCATACAAGAAGGTCATTTTTGAGTATCAGTTTAGCTTCTTTGAGGTAAGTATCTTGCCTAACTTCGTGTTGGAGACCTACCCCTTAGGATTTGAGTTGTTTGTGCTATTTGTCTTATGTGAAAGCCGTGCACGCGAGGTGACGAGTGCGTACTCGGGCTTATACATGAAAATTGACCGGTTTAGACTCTTAGGCTTCTTTTATGTATTTATCTGAAATTGTTAGCGCATGTTATATCATTTTATTTATCATGTTTACTTTCACATGCTTTATTTGAAGTTGTTGCTACATGTCACATTCTTTACTTGTCAAGTTTACTCTTATATGCTTTATTTGAAGTTGTTACCTCTTTTATCATTATGTGACTTCCTTTATTGTTGAGTTACTCTTAACTGAAGTTATTGTTACCTGATATCCTTTTGTTGCCGAGTTATTCTCATGCATTTAGACGTAGTTGCTAGTTCGTGTCATCTCTTTCATTGTTAGCCTATTTCATACACTAGGATCCAAAGTTTGCCATTTCGTGGAAATACCTTCATTATCGAGTTTATTCTTAAGCAATTAATTGAAGTTGAAGTTACTGAAAGTCACTAATCTACTTTAATTGAAGTTATGTTTAAAGGGGGTGTTGTTCATTGTTGAGTTACTTTCCCGTTCATTTTGTTGTTATTGAGATTCTATACACATTGTTTTGAGTCGTGGGCTATTTGTTGTGGAAATACTGATATTGTTGGTTCTTTTGGAAAGGTTGTGGCCTATGAGCACTTGTAGTACGAGTTAATATGTCGTGCTATCATGCTGTTAGCATATGTAAATTTTTATGTGAATTGGTTGTTGTTATGTGGAGCATAAAGATGACATTTCACTATTATTGTTATGCGGGGCATAAGGGTGGCATCCCACTATTGTTGATTACGCGGAGTGATACGGGTGGCTATTATGTTATTGTACGGGTGGAGCAGTAAGAGTGACTATTATGCGGAGTGATATGAGTGGCTAATGATAATGTCAGCGCGGTGTGATACTGGTGGCTAACAGAGAGATAAGGGTGGCAATGTCAGGGATGATGTGTGATGGCCTGAGGGTATTATGTTGACGATATTCGTATGTTAGTGTGATTCTACTCATGTATGTCATACACCTTAATTGACTTGTTATGTTGCTTTCAATGAGCTACTCAATGTCTTTGATATTACTTGTTGACTTGGGCTGTGATAGTACAATCGCACAAGCATACACCCTAGCATGCCACTTATACTAGTTTAGGAGTACGAAACGTAACATTTATTGATCATGCCCATGTATTCTTGTATTATCTGTGTTCATGTGATATTAAGCATGTGACCGTGCCGGGAAGATTGTGATAGTGATCCTGTGACCACGTAGGGCGGATTATGATTGTGAGCCTGTGATCATGCCTGGCGGATTGAGATGTTAGATTGTGAGTTGTCTGTGCGGTTGTGATTAGAAATGTGGGCACCAGGTTCTGTGAGCATATTATTTTTGTGGGTTGAGACTCGTGACATATGATTATGCGATGAGGTATTTTGAAGAAATTTTTGTTGCCAAACTTATGTTATAACGGCTTGATTAATTAGTGGTTATTGGTTTTCCCTTATTTGGTTTCAGTGGTACTTTCAGTGTTCTTATTACTTTACTGTTTATATCATATATTGATCCTTGTTGCCATTTACTGATTCCTGTTTTTATTATTAGTTTTATACTTATATATTACACAGCTTAATTTGACTAGTAGGTGTCTTGACTTGTACCTCGTCACTACTCCTTTGAGGTTAGTCTTGATACTTACTGGGCACCATCTGTGGTGTACTCATACTACACTTCTGGACATTTTTGTGCAGATCCAGGTATTGGAGATATCATACTCAGGCAGAGTTACCTTATTGATCGCGAGGATTCAAGGCAGAGCTGCTTGGTTGTCGCAGTCCCTTGGAGTCCTTTTCTTTTATTGTACTGTCAGCTTGTTAGTTGAACAATATTGTATTTTGATCTTTGTGATCTTTTCATGTATTCAGCTAGGGTTCGTGACTCTGTATTACCTAGTCTTGGGAGGTTGTGATGATTATGGCCGCGTAGGCTTATTTCACTTTTGTTTTGGTATTCATATTAAACTATGTTTTAAAATTATCATTGTTAAACTGGCTTAATTGTTGTAAGTAATAGGCTTACCTAGTCTTAGACACTAGTGCCATTATGATGCCTATGGTGGGATTTTGTGTCGTGACATAACCCAGGCTAATGAAATCAAACTCATGGAGGGACAAAGGTCAGGCATCGGATGTGCAGTAATACCAAAAACCCTATTGACTGGAGAGATACCTTCTAGCCTTTTGACACTGGCTCGATCGAGTGGAACAAAGGATAATAACCTCACAATGCCAAGTGTGTAGATCGAGAAACTCTTGGATAGAAATTGAAAGAAAAAAATGAATGTTATCCCCGAGGCACAGTTTCATGCTCGCAGTGAGGGGACTAGAACCCTAGCAAGTGTCGGGTAACTCCAGATGCCATGAGGATTAATTTGATGCACAAAGAAGTAGCGAAGGCCCAGATCACCATGAGCAGCAAAAACCCTGTGGAGGCAGAGCAAAATGATACGAGCTAGGTGAATCGGGCCCAGACATCTCATGATGGCAAAATGAATGGAATAGTAGCAGAAATTGGGGGTGCACAACAAAAACTGCAAATGAAACAGGAGAACCCTGGGAACAAGGCGTAGGTGAATTTATTTGAGGGAAATAAAATGGTAGCAAGAGGTATGGGTCTTACTTTCATCCCTCTTGCTGTCATGACCCGAAATCCCAACCATGTGGTCGTGATGGCGCCTAACATCTACTTGGTAGAAAAGCCAACGTTAGCTAATCAATTAACCATTTTAACAATTTAAAACACCATAATAATGATAATTAACGATTGGTAAATCTGAAATACATAAGATAAATCCATAAATTACAAGGTCTAGACAAATCCCAAAAATCTGGTGTCACCAGTACATGAGCAACTAGAGTACTACAAAGTATGGTCTGAACAAAATACAACTATTTGAAGCAAAATAAACAGTAAAGACATAATAGAAGGGTACTTTACGGGCTGCAAACGCAATCAACTCTACCTCAAGTCTCCTAGGCAAGCCGATCCGGGCAAAACTCCTCTACGCACCGTTTGGGACCAACACCGAGATCTGCACAAGAAGTGCAAAAGTGTAGTATGAGTATAACCGACTCCATGTACTCTGTAAGTGCCGAGCCTAACCTCGAAGAAGTAGTGATGAGGCTATGATAAGACACTCACAATAAACATGTATGAATAATAATAACATAATACGAAAATATAGATAAAACAGTAAACTCATAAAAACGTCCCCGAAGGTCAACCACCAGAGGCCCCCAGAATAACACCATCTCAAACCTCATATCACAATACCGAGATAAAACTCTACAACTACAAACAACTACAATACATCACACTCTATTGCGGCGCGCAAACCCGATCCCAACATTTAACACAATATTTATTGCGGCGTGCAACCCGACCCCAACATTTATCATAATATTCGTTGCAACGTGCAACCCAATCTCAATATCATATCTTATCATTATTTGTTGTGGCGTGCAATCCGATCAAATATCAACACATCAACATAAACAACTCCACACAACCAATAACGGAATCTCAACACAAACAGGAACTAAGGCATACAAAAAATCAAGGAACTACCAGTACAAATGAAGGATAAACAATACCTCGTATTAATAATTCTCTACCAATCACCAATACATGAATAGCTCAAGAACTCACAAAAATCGAGATAGCATAATAAAGTGCAACAAGTAATGTAAAGACAATAAAAGGCAAGTAAAACATGAAATAATGAAGTTACACAAATAATTTAGGTTGGAACATATAGTAGGTAAACATATATTGAGCGAGAAATGAATAAATCAAACAAGTAACAATTTAAATAACAGATAACAAGTAAGATTATGTAGCAATCAAAGCTTATAACAAGAGATAGTATGGGATAAGTGATGACAAAAATATAAATAGTCAAACTCGCATGCTTTAACCCGTGACAATGTATATACACTCGTCAACTTGCGTATATATTGTTTCCCCACCTAATTTATATAACAAATAGTCCAACAAGTCCTAATTCCTTCAAGTCAAAGTTAAACACGACACTTACCTCTTCGCGCAATCAACTCAACAATCAATCATGACTTTTTCTTTCGAACAAACTTCCAAACCTACCAAATCTAGCCAAATATTGTTCAAACAATCCAAAATAAGCTTTAGAAACTACCCACGAATGAAAAAAGTTCAATCTTTGATGAAATTAAAAAAGTCAACAAAAGTCAACCCCGGGCTTGCTTGGTCAATATTCGAGATCCGGACCAAAATCCATTTATCTGTTCACCTCCGAGTCTGGTTATGTGATAATATTCAAAATCCGACCCCAACTTGAGGTCTAAATTATTATTTTATAAAATTCCTAAATACTACCCAAAACCCCTATTTTTTATCATGAAATTCCTAGATTTGATGTTAAAAACTCATTAAAAGTAATGAAGAATTGATAGAAAATGAATTGGAGTTGCTTACTGATGTTTGGCCAAAATGCTGTACTTTTAGTACATTACTCGCCCTACATTTTGTTGTCTTAGTAATTAATTGTGTGACAGTTGAGCTAAATTATATTGTTTTATGTGTAGGAGCATCGTAAGAAAGAGTCGATGAAAGTTGCACGAAAAGAGGACGAAAATGCAAGGAAAGAGCACAAAATCACCAAGTACCCAAGCCTGGCTAGATTCCAAGCATAGCCATCTCTATAGCCTGCTTTGCCGTGCTACAGGCCAAGCATAGCCAGCTCTATAGCCAGCTTGACCGCGCTACAAGCCAGGCATAGCCAGCTCTATAGCCAGGCTGACCGCGCGATAAGCCTGTCCTCGCGAGGTCTATAGCCCGGTGATTAAAAGTTGCGGATTAAAAGACACCAACCCGGATTTGGACTCAAGGACTTCGTCCTAACATATAAAAACTCCCTAAAAGAGTTGAGAAAGGGTTAGACATTATTTTGGAGAACAAAAAGGCTACAGAGCACTGTGGAGCAAGGAATCAACGAGTTTTCCCTTTGTTTCTCTTTACTTTGTAGTTTAATATCTTTGAACATCATGATGATTGTTTATACATTTATGAGTGGCTAAACTATCTCATCTAGGGTTTGATGGAACCTATTGAAGGATGATTTTTTTGCTATGTTTAATATAAATTTGCCGTTGATCTTTCTTTACTTGTTCAATTATATTTTTGTTGTTGTTGATTGAATAGCTCTCAATTAAACATGCCTATTTAGTGTTTATTGCTCGAGAGAGTACACGTTTAGGTAGTTGTTGAACAACACCACTCCTAATGTATTTGAGAGATCAATACGGAGGGTTTAAAGGCGGGAGTAGAGATAACGAAACCTTGGTGCGATCATAGTGAGCGGTGAATTAGTACCAGCTAGCGTAGTTCGAGAGAATACGTCTAGTAAATTATTGTAGTTTCTCGAGAGAGAGCTACGACATCCAAAGTACTCACGATTGGTAGATAATACTTAGGCGGATTTATTGGAGATGTAGAGGGGGAGATTCCGACAATAGGGGAAATCATAACCCTAGACCTTTCCAAATCTTGTCTACAACATTTGGTTTATTAGTTATAAATTACTGCATTTTAATTACTTTTACCTTAGTTAATAAACACTCAAACCATTATTTAATATTTTTAAATGTTGATTGCTTGAATTCTTGCGAAATTAGTGGTTGCGATTAGTAGGTTAATTTTCTGTGGGATTCGACTCCGGACTTGTAAACTGGATTATATTTGCAAGGACTGCTAGACCTCTTAGGAGGCATAGTTGGGCGTGATCAAATTTTGGTGCCGTTGCCGGGGAATTAACGGTGTTATTAATTATGACTAAAAGAATTGTCAGAATTCTTAGTTTAGTCAGTTTTATCGACTTGAAATTCATTATATTGAAACTCTAACGTTTGTAGTCTTGTATGTTACAGGTGCATGCCTAAAAACTCCTCAAGAACTGGTGAATTGTACGAAGCATTACCGGACCTTGAGAAATCTTTCAAGGCACTAAATTATGTAAACAAAAAAGACAAACGACAACAGAACTCAACAGAACGAATCGAACTAGACATAGGTGACGTAATAGACAACCAAAACAACAGAAACACTCTGAATGACCTGAACAATCAGGGTGTTGCACCTCTTGAGCTAGAAGTAGCCTTGTATGATTGGGCGCAACCCGCCGCTGAAAATTCGGCAACCGCAATTGTAGTCCCTCAGATATAAGCGGAATCATTTCAAATCACAAACAACATGCTAAGAAGTCAAGGCTACTTCCGTCTTTGATGTAATTGAGAAGTTTCCTCCACCCACTTCCGTCAAGGACATAAGAAGTTTCCTTGGTCACCCCGGCTTCTACAGGCGGTTTATAAAAGAGTTTTTCAAAATTGCTAGCCCTTTGTGTAAATTGCTTGAAAATGATAACCCCTTTGTGTTTTCTGATGACTGTAGGGTAGCTTTTGAGGAGTTGAAGAAGAGGCTGGTGACTGCACCAATCATAGTGGCACCTTACTAGGAACAACCTTTTGAGCTGATGTGTGATACAAGCGACTGTGCTGTGGGAGCAGTTCTTGGGCAGAGAAAAGATAAAGTCATGCATCCAATCTACTATGCAAGTAGAACCTTGAGTGGTGCCCAACTTAATTACATAATCACAGAGAAGGAGATGCTATCAGTGGTGTTCGCATTTGACAAATTTAGATCATACCTAATAGCTCGAAGGTAATTGTTTATACTGACCATGCTGCTCTCAGGTACCTAATTGAGAAGAAAGATTCAAAGCCACGCGTGATTCGATGGGTGCTACTGCTGCAAGAGTTCGACTTGGAAATCTATGACCGATAGGGAATGGAAAACCAAGTTACAGATTACTTGTCCAGGTTTGAAGGAGCTGAAAAGAGGGTTGAGGTGGAAGAGATCGTGGAGACTTTCCTAGATGAACAACTTTTAGCCACGAGCCTTGAGGTAGCGCCATGGTATGCAGATATTGCAAACTACCCGACGAGCGGTATTGTT